TATGTGTATATATAAAAAAAAATAATAATAATAATAATAAATAAATAAAAGGGTGTTGTTTTGGAAAGACACTTTTCAGTGGGGATTAGATCGCAACCTTTTTCACTTGACTCACTCATTTGATCATATCCAGTCAGAATGAACGAGGGAGGAGAAACTATCGTATCCCAGAGCGAGAGAGGAAGGAAGAAACAATAGAAGATGGGGAGAAGTTTTAGTGAGAAGAAGAAGTCAAAATGAAATTGTGCTCGCCTGCTCCACTTACCCGAGTTTGGCATCGAGCAGCTTCGACGCCGTTTTAACGTGTAGGAGGGGTTGCTTACAGTGGAAGGAGAAGCTGACTTTCGACGTTGCTACATGCGCAGCAATAGAGTTACGACTTTTTCTAGGCTTGTGGTGTCGGATAAGCCACGATCGAAGCCAGGAAGAAGAAGAAGAAAATCGTGCGTGAAGTTAGGTTTGTCGCCATACGAAGGAGAAAAGGAATGTGAGTCGAGCTTCTTGCGGTGCTCTCATGCAGGAGGAAGAAGATAAGAGGCACTCGAGCTGTTTTGCGTCGAGTTTAGACTGGAGGAAGGAGAAAAGGGGCGTTGTTTTGGAATGACTCCGTTTGGCGGGTATTAGATCGCAACCTTTTCCACTTGACTCCTCATTCGATCGTATCCAGTGAGAATAAATGAGCGAGGAGAAACTGTCGTATCCCAGAGCGAGAGAGGAAGGGAGAAATGACTCCTTATTTGAAGGAAGAAACAATCCTAGATGGTGTTGGATGGTGTTGGATTGTAATTATATATATATAATAATAATAATAATAATAATAATAATAAATAAATAAATAAATAAATAAAAGGGGCATTGTTTTGGAAAGACACGTCTTGGTGAGGATTAAATCACAACCATTTCCACTTGACTCCTAATTTGATCGTATCCAGTGAGAATGAATGAGCGAGGAGAAATTGTTGTATCCCAGAGCGAGAGAGGAAGGAAGAAACAATAAAAGAAGGGGAGAAATTTCAGTGAAGAGAAAAAGAAGTCGAAGTCAGAAGGAAATTGTGCTCGCGTGCTTCACTTACCCGGGTTCGGCATCAAGTAGCTTCGTCACCGTTTTAACGTGCAGGAGTCACATCCGAAGGGAAGTCGAACCTTGTTCACAGTGCAAGGAGAAGCTGGCTTTCAACATTGCTACATGCGAAGCAATAGAGTTACGACATTTTTTAGGGCTTGTGGTGCCAGATAAGCAACAGTCAAAGCTAGGAGGAAGAAGAAAATCGTGGGTGAAGTTAGGGTTGTCGTGCCATATGAAGGAGAAGAGGAATGTGAGTCGAGCTTCCTGTGGTGCTCTGTTGCAAGAAGAAGAAGATAAGAGGGACTTGAGTTGTTCTACGTCAAGTTTAGATCGGAAAAGAAGGAGAAAAGGGAGGAGAACGAGCTTTGCGGTGCTCGCGTGCATTTCCTTGAGTCGAACCACGATTTAGATTGGAAAAGAAGGAGAAAATGGAGGAGAACGAGCTATGCGGTGCTCGCGTGCATTTCGTTGAGTCGAACCACGATCGAAGAAGGAAAGAGGAGGGATCTCGCGCGGTCGAATAGGGACTGAAGGCAAGAAGAAGAAGATGAGGAGCGGGCCTTCACATGTTTGAGCTTAGGATAGTCGACCAAGTATAAAAGGGTAAAGATAAAGTTTCATAATTAATTATGTTAATTAATATAATATTATTGTGTGTGTGTGTGCGTGAGCTATTTGATTTAGTTTAAGTCTAAAAAATATATATAAATATAATTAATTAAATAGATATAATATTAACATTAATGGTTTATGAATTTAAATCAGGTATTGTAGTGGAAGATTGCGAGGGAAGGGGAAGAGTTGGCCAACCAAAAGATTTTAAGGGATTTTAACTTTTAGGGAGAGAAAAGCTTGTGATGCAAGCAAGTTAGGGAGTAGATCGATCTGAAAACCTATAAGGTCAAGGTTAAATCTTATGTTATTAATGAAATTAATGACACAATTAGCTAAATTAATTAGTGTTATTAAATTTTATTATTATTAAGAAGTGAGGAAGAAGGCCGACTAATCGTTTGGATTTGTGGAAGACATATACATTTAAAAAATAAGGTATGTTTTAAATTAAGGATTAATTTACTTAATTAAGAATTGATATTTAATAAATTATTAATGTTTAACTATAATTTAGGTTGAAGCACATTTAAGCCTAGAAGATCAGGAGTCGATGTGACAAGTAAGTTAAGCAATGTGAGTAATTATTTTTTTATATGTATTAAATTTAAATTTTATCAAATAAAAAATTTCTTTAATGCTTTAGATAATTATTTTAAGATTTTATGTATGTTGTAACTTAAGAATTAAAGGAAATGAATGGGAAAAAGAAAAATGATTATTTAATGTCTTTAAAAGGAGATAATTTAAACGAAATGAAATGAAAGTTAAAGGTTTAAGTCATACATGATTACACCCAGATAACACTGGTAGAGAATGAAATGTATATGTGCACGTTAAAGAAAATGGTAAAAGTGCGCCGTCAGGTGCAATTTGAGGTTAAATTTAGGTACAATTTTGAGAGTGTCTTCAGACGCATTTTTTATAGTGCATTCAGACACATTTTTTAGGATATCTTCTGATATGACGGTAATCTTGTCATGACTTAAAAAAATGTTAAAAACTGTAAATACTTAAAATAGAACAGGAATAGATAAATTTAAGGTTTTAATGAAATTGATTGCATTTTCTTCTGGTCATTTATGCATAACATATTATAGCATAAGAAATTTAATACATATTAAATTATAATTACTCACTAAGTTGTACTTACAGTTGTAAATAATGTTTTTTTCAAGAGAAAAAAGTTCTAGGTGATATTTCTAATAAGAAATATTTGGTTTACAAGAGGAGAATCACTGCTACTAATAAGTATTAGTTTATCATATGACTTTAATTTCTTTTATTATTTACTTCTGTTTAGAGACACTTTATATGTTAAACTGAGATGTTTTTCGATTATGATTAGGCTTCTAGATGGTTTAAATTTTATTGCATTTTGTGGATTAGTGACTCTTTTACATATATTGGAAGTTTCATAAATTTTTGAAAAGTAATATGAAATGTTAATACCGTCTGACCGCCGTTCTCACCTTAGTTAATTCCAAGTACCGGGTCGGGTCGTGACATGAATGGTGGCTGAGAATCCGCCAGATGGACTGGGGGAAGGTCGATGATGGCTAGAAGGACACTGGATGAAACGTCAGCGCTAGAGGGCGGCAGCAAGAGTGTAGGAGGTGGTCAACGACGACTGAAGGGGCGCTGGAGGGGACCTGACGGATCGTCAACTGGCTGGAGGTGGCTAGGAGGTGCGAAAACAGTGGGAGGTGACGTAGGAAGGTCGATGTGGCGATCTGGAAGGAGAGTGCGACCTGTCTATGCCGCTGAAGGGAACCTGAAGGGTTGGTCAGCCTGCTAGGTAGGCCGGGAGATGCGACAGCGACGGGAGGTGGCGTAGGAAGGAGTGGAGCGGAGATACACACCACCTTAGGCAAGAATAGCCCTAGCACCACTCGATGGAGTATACAACGCTCAAAGATGGAATGACGGGAAGGCACACCTGAAATTAGAAATCAACAAAACAAATTAGACCTAACAAAAGAACATGCATAAATGGGGGAGGAAGGGATACCACAAATGCAAGATCCCAGGAAAGGAAGCAGATGAAAAATGGAAGGGATTGCAATGTTTAGGCGAGGAGGCGAAAGAGTTGGGCACGAGGGGAGAGGAGCGAATTGGGCACGAGGGGAGAGGAGCGAATTGGGCACGGGAAGCAGAGGGGCTAAATTTAAATGAAATTGGACCGGTTTGGTCCAGCGGGAAGGCTGGACCGGCTTCCTGTTTCACCCAGCTCGATGGGCTCTAAGCAGCTTGCGTCAGCCGCAGACAAAGAATAAAGATTTTAAATGGTGATGGTTTTCTAATAGACGATGTTTTGAGCAGTAAGAGCTTGACTAAGATTGAATATCTATGTCACGATTTACTTTTAATAAAAGTTCAAAATGTAGTTGGAGTTGGAGCAAAGAACAATTTAGGTTGGAAATGAAGAGTGAAAGAGATCTTTAGGGAGCCTTTTTGACTTGGAAAAGATATGAAGACCAACTCTAAAATGATATGAGTATGAGTTTGGGTGCTCTTTGCCTCTTGGGAAAATCAAATTTTGATGTTTGAGATCAAATATTCATGCATCATCTGAACTATTGGTCGTTTAACATTTGGGCTCCTAGTTCATTGGTTTGCGTGTGGAATGTGAACCGTTTTTACTTTTTATGATCTTTTTCTGTCATCGGAGTAGAGAAGGAGAAATGAAGGAGCATTAATAATTCATTGAAAGACGGGAAAAATGAAAATTAAATGGAAGTTTGTAGGACTCTTGAGCAGCACAGAAAAATTTTGCACCCAATGATAAAAAGTGTGGTATTGAGGTACTCATTGTGCACTTTTAATCACTAAAACATTTAAGAATAAGCACATGGATGGCGACATAAACATTCACACAAGCATATTGGATAACCAAACAATTAAACAAGAAATGCAACATTGTTATGGAGACAAAAAATTTAAGGAAGATTTACATGCATACCACTCAATTCTTATGTATTTACATATCTAACACCTATACTTCAATTTTTACATATACGTCACCTTATATATAAATGAAAAGATGTATTTTATTTTTTAAAAGCCAAATAGTGGTATTTTTATATGATATGAAAGATTTGGGTTGTATAAACTTAAAAAATTAAGTTTTGGTGTTAAATATGTAAATGCAGAGAAATTTGGTGTTATGTATGTAAATGCCCCTAAATTTAAAATCTAGAATGCCCTCAGTAAACTGCAATGGCATTTCATATTTCAATTATCAATGCAGCTGACGCTACAGGTTTATATAAATTTATGATCGGATTGTCAAAATTTTTGATATCTTTGTGTTTTTTCACAGCAATGGGTTTCAGAAGCTGGACAAGATCAAGGAGCCTAATAGACAAAGCAAGCAGCTTGAGGAGCTCACTGCAAAAATGAGGGAGTGCAAGCGGTATGCATTCTGGTTTTGTCTAGCCCAACTTCTAGATTTTTGGTTGGGGAAATTTGCATGCATACCACACAATTTTTATGCATTTACATATCTAATACCTAAAGTTCGATGCTTACATTAATAACACTTAGGTCTTAAAAACCTATGCTTGAAAATTTGTATCTCACTTATAAAAAGTTCGTGAGTGGTATGTTTGATGTGTTATCAAAGATTCGAGTGTTATGTCTTTAAATATGAAATTTTAGGTGTTAGATATGTAAAATATATGAATTATGTGGTATGTTTTTAAATGCCCCTTGTATTTATTAGGCTTTATTCTACAGTGCTCCTGCACCCTTGGATTAACTTATATCTCCAGTACAAACATGTTACCTGCTCTTAACCATTATGTGTTGGAAGATTTACATGCTCAATTCCTGTATTTACATATCCAACACCTAAACTTCAATTTTTACATACATATTATCTTACCTATGACTTTTTAAAAGTTAAAATGGTGCTATATTTGATGTGTTTTGAAAGATTTGAGTGGTATAAATGTAAAAAAGTAAACTTTAGTTGTTAAATATGTAAATTCATATGAATTGAGCAGTATAGTATATACACGGCATGTTCTGCAATTTTTTAAGGTGTAAATGTAATTTTTCGTGTACCAAACATAAGATGGCTTTTTTAACAGCCTAATAAAGGAATTTGATCGTGAAATTAAGGAAGCGGAGAATAACAATTCTCCTGAGATCAATAAGCAGCTCAATGACAGGAAGCAATCCATGGTTTGTCATCTACATGCTTGCACTTTTTTGTTTTATTCTCTTTTACATGTACTCATTTTTAACAAAAAATGTGCAGATCAAGGAGCTAAACTCATATGTAGCCCTCAGGAAGACGTAAGTAAAGGATTTTTGTTGTTTTTTTTACTTTTTTTCTACGTGATGCAATATAATTTAACATTTTCATCTTTAATATATTACTTAGATCAACTTATAAAAAACGTAAGTTTTTCAAATAAGTAAGAGTAAACTCCATTAAAAAAAAAAAGTAGAACTTTTCTTTCAAATATTTGGTTTCCACCTTGTCTAAATTATGATGATAAGCTTTCTTTTTCAGAATCATGTTGATAGCCAATTTGATAGAAGCCGAATGAGTTTCACAGAAATTAGGGCAAACAAATATTTTATTCAATAACACAATAAGACAACCCAAATAGATAAAAGATAAACACCTATAATTCGAGAGGTAAGCGATCTCTCTCAAACCCTATGTATAACACTTACTTTCGAGAGGTAGGTGATTTCTCTCAAACCCTAACCCTAAGATTCAAAGACAACAATCACACATATCAAACCCTAAACTTATGAAGCGCTATTTATACCCACAATAATAACTAATAAAAGATTAAATTTCCCTTAGGCTCATAAAAGAATAAATTGACCTTAAGCGCCAATCTAACATTACTGCATTCCTAAAAAGACAACTTCTACGAGGTGAAAAAAAAAGAAAATTATTGTTGGATTATGTCTCATGGCTCTCACACGACGTCATTATCTGACAATCATGTAGATCTAATCAAAAATTCATAGTGACCATGACTTCGAAATTCGGTCTTGTGCACATCCTTTGTTCACGTCTGAACCTATTGGTACTTTGACTTCAAATCAATTTTGGAGAATATCACAGGCGTAAACAACTTCTCCAGTAGCTTATCGATTACCGTAATCTCTGTCAACTTCTTATCAAGTGTCTCTTCCATGCGATGTAACTCGATCCAGAATTCCTACCTTACATCTTGAATTGTCCTCACTATGGCCTTGAGCTTTACCAACATCTTGCACAAATTGGGGTCATCGCAAGCACACCCATCTTGTCTTCCTCCTAAATACTTTGTAGTGTCAAAATTAGTTCTTTACCCTCTCCACTACTCTTCTCCACCCATCCCATTCCTATTATTACTCCTGAATTGTCTTTCGCCTGGAAGGCTACAACAAGAAAACGTACTAGTGTAGTTGGATGCATCCCTCCTTTGGGGTCTCAACCATTATGGTTCTCTTTTCTAGGATGAAATCCTTCGAATCGATCTTCTCTAACCTCAAATTGACGTCTATTGTCACTCGTTTCAGACCTCCCAATGTCTCATGCAATTACCTCCGAATGTTGTCACTCGAATCCACTCCTGACTCCTTCGTGGAATCCCACGTGCTTCCATTCGTTTCAGTCGTCTAAATGTCGCACCATTCCTTTCAAGTGCTTCTACTTGAGTCAGCTCATGATTCCTTTGCTCAATTTTGTGGCTCCCGATCTGGTTAGAACACTAACAATGCCATGATGCCACACAAGTCCTTACAATCGCATCCGCTTCTGATTCCTTGGCTTGGTCCTTTGGCTCCAACTCCACCTAAAGCACCAACAGTTCCCTAATGCAACACAATTCTTCAGATTGCCACCACTCGCATCTGCTCCTAACGCAGTCGCTCGGTATCGCGGCAGGATGAGGCGGTTTTGTGTGAAACATTATAACCTTCATCATTTTTTTCAGAGCCGTGAATCTCCCCTCCATGGGCCAGAACTGCGTCTCCAGGGACGAGAAATGCTCCTCCATTTCAAATCTGATTTAACTCACCTCTTTCTTCAATTTATCCTCCAAAGCATCTACTCTTTTGGCTGTCATTACTTCCAGGAAGATATTCAACTACGAAGGTAGGATTTTGTACGCTCATTGGCTTCTCAACTAGCTTGAGTCATTTCGTATTACACGGTTCGGTTCTTGTAAACCGCGATCCCACTGTTTGCTTCCTTGCTAGGTCGAATTAAGTTGTTGTATCAATTTGTAGGCGCAATCTTGTCGTTTGTACACCGTGATTTCCCCGCTAGGTTGAATTGAGCGATCTCGTCTTTTGTATGCCATGATACTATTTTTCGCTTGTTGGGTAGCTCTTATTGTAACTGTATCGCAAGTAAGTGATCTTGGATCACGCCGTCAATTTGCAGCTAAATCTTATCATGATCCTGCTGGGAAGCCTCCTGTATTTCAAGATTCGTCTTTCAGGCAACGATTCTTTGTAGAATTTCCGTACGCAGTGATTCTTCATGGAATTTCCTTACGCAGTGATTCTTCATGGAATTTCCGTATGCGAAATTTCTGTACGCAACGAAGTTGCTGATACCAATTTGACAGGAATCGGATTAATTTTCCATAGAAATTAGGGCAAACAATTTTTTTTTTCAATAACACAAAACAAAACAATCCAAATACATAAATGATAAACAACTACAATTTGAAAGGTAGGCGACTATCCCAAATTCTAACCCTAAGATTCAAAGATAGTAATCACACATATATATAACCCTAAAAATATTAAGCGTTTTTTATACTCTACAATAATAACTAGTAAAAGACTAAATTGCCCTTAGACGCACAAAATACTAAATTGACCTTAGGTGTCAGTCTAACACGGTTTTCAAAATCGGCCTGAAATTGATCGAATCAATAATTTAGAATTAGTTTGGGTTGACTCCGACCTAGAATTGGTTAATTAGCATCGGCTTGGCATTTTCTCTTTGTTAGGATTGATTTTTTTTTTCTTTTGCATATTTATGTTCCCACTTTTTTTAGCTAAATTTTGTGCTGAGTTTTCCTCTTCGTACCACCCAATTCGTATGTATATGACACCTAAACTGTGCTTTTTTAAATTTCATATCACATCAAAAAGATCACTATTTTTACTTTTAAAAGTGACTGCATGCATTGGTAAGATGGCTTGTATGTAAAAATTGAAGTTTAGGTGTTAGATATATAACAAGTGGTATGTACATAAATCTTCAAAAAATTTTTGTATGATCAAAGCCTGGGGCTTAGAAACAAGGACCTGGATATGTTTATACGGAACATGCCACCAAGCCCCTAATCTTTTTTATAATATATGGAATAAATTTCTTTTTACCAATTTGTACGTAAGGTTAAAATTTATTATCTTGTATAGTTTTTCGTTTAAATTTATTATCTTGTATAGTTTTTCGTTTAAATTTATTTTAGATACACTCTGAGACATATGATAATCTATTAATCCATTTAATATAATTAATGAAATTATTAAAAAATTAATTATCTAATACTATTAGAATTTTTGAATGCAGGTAGTTATTGTTACAAACTACATGCTACATTGCTTTCTTAGAATCACAGCTATATATTGTAAATTAAATATCTAAATTACAAGCACAATTAAAAAATATGGGAGCCTTACATGCATACCACTTAATTCCTGTGTATTAACACATCTAGCATCTAAACTACAATTTTTACAGACATACCAACTTATATATACATGAAAAGGTGTATTTCACTTTTTAAAAGTTTTAAAAGTTAAAATGGTGGTGTTAAAAGTTAAAATGGTGGTGTTTTTATGTGATATGAAGGATTTGGATGGTATAAATGTAAAAGTATTGGTGTGAGATATGTAAATACCTAGGAATTAGGTGTTATGTATGTAAACGCCCCTAAAAATATTGCATTTATAAAGCCTGCTCCGAGCAGTATGCATCTAGTGTTAATAACACATTTTAATATTTCTTGGGACTCATGACAGTATTTTACCATAATATTGCCTCGTATCTTACAAATTATTTCTAACTTGAAAAAAAAAAGAATGTAATATTCAAAAAAATTCAATTTTTCGTGAGAAAAATAACTAAAATTGAGCATTGAAACTGTTGAAACCGGCAACATTGAAATTCTCACAATGCTAAAACCAAAAATAAAAACCTTGGTAGGATGAGCCTCATTTTGTATCTAATGATTTATGTTTGTGGAAATTGCACAGATTTTTCTGCTTTTTTGCTGAACTACTTTGGATGCTTGAAAACACTACATCTCATGAATTTAATACCAAGGTTAACTCTAGTTGATGTGTAGTGTTTTATGTAAGCTAATATTTTTCTTCGTATTTAACTCAGGCACATTTGCTGACTCGAGTTCTTTTGCTTTTTCTCTCTATTCATAGTAATGAATAAATGACTGGATAATGATTTCTGGAAAATGTATAGTTGAATTAATAGTGCTGAACAAATGAAGTGAAGATTTGTTGGGATTTAGTAATTCTTTGTTGATTGATGAATAATCATAGTGGAACAAGATGCACATTCCCACATTATTCGGTTTGAAATGCTCCTTTTAAACAGAATGAATCCATGTTTGAAAATTATTTTATACATATCTATTTAAATAGCAATAAAAGCCGAAAATAGTCCTCCGACTATTAACAAGTATCCAATTTAGTCGCAGGGTTTTAGAATTTTCCATTTAGTCCTAAACTATTAAAAGTTGTTCCAAATTGTTCATAAATTATATTTCTCGTTAAATTTAACGGTGACTTACATGAATTGAAGGGTATTCCGTCTTTTATGTAATTATTTATAAATATATCCAACTTGAAAATTTGTATATGTTGTTTGGTTGGATTTAGGCTAAATCTTGCTTAAAACCTAATTAAATATTGCTCAAATACGATCAAAGGCAGACATCACAAAATATGAAATCCCATTTCTCCACCATTTTCTACTTTTAAATTCGATTAAATAATTTATTTTGCCACATATAATACATTTTTCTTCTTCCACGAATTACTTCTCTCTACAAACTTATAGTGTCGTATTTACCTGTCTGGAGTCACAGTTTCTTCAGGTCAAACAGACACAGGTCAAAGCCACCTCTTTTTGCAATGAACGATGGTTGAGGGGGGGATGCACAAACTCTGGGATGGAGACAAAGACTTATCGTTGAAGCAAGCATCGCAGATGGAGATGGAGACGAAGACAGAGACTTCTCCATCGAGTGGAGAAGCAGCGAATGTGTACTCGCCTTGAATTGCTTGCTCCATCGATGGTGAAATAGATGGAGAGAAGATGCGCTCGAATGGAAATGAATCTTTGTTGTCGATGAAAGCAACGTGGATGGAGACGGAGACTGCTCCGTTAAGTGGAGAAGAAGCGAATAAGTACACACCTTGAGTTGCTTGCTTCGTCGATGATGAAATAGAAGGGGATAGGCCACATGAGTGGAGGAGCAGCGAAGATTTAGGTTTAAGGTGATATTGTTTTGTCTATGAATCTTCCAGTGAGAACCGACGAACCCTTTGTGTGTTTAATTCTTGAATTTTGTAAATAGATGGAATTACCCTTCAAAATGTGAAAGGAGTAAAATTAAATGAAAATTTTATTTAGGACCAATTCAGAACAATTTTTAATAGTGGGGTACTAAATTGGAACATTATAAAACTCGGTGACTAAATTGGATATTTCTTAATAGTCGGGGGTCTATTTTAGGCTTTTTCTCATTTAAATAATGTAGAGTACGAGTATGATTTCTCAGCTCATTGAACTATTTATCAGAAAGCGTTAACGAATGATGTTAGTGTATAATGCTCAAAATGAATTGAGGAGGGGCTAAGGGGGGAGAGCAATATCTACTTTTTACTTGATTTTTTGTGTTTTATATGAGTCTTTAATTGTGGCAATTCAGGTATATGAGTAACCTCGGCAATAAAAGGATAGAGCTATTTGATTTGGGCGGTGGAAGCAATGATCCTGCGGCTGAGGAAAATGTTCAACTTGCATCAAGTGAGAGACGAAATCCACTTATTGTTCATGTTTTTCTGCCTATACGTTTGAATTACTTGTTTTCCTTATAAAGCTTGTGATATCTTCATTAAAAAAAGGAAAAATTACATTTGTAGCATACAATTCTTATGCATTTACGTATCTCACACCTAAACTTTCATAAAAAACACACACAGGAGTTTCGTGCTTCATACATATGCATGAAAAGGTGTATTTGACTTTTAAAAAAGTGGCAATAATGCTATTTTTGTGTGATATTAAATATTTGAGTGTTATGTCTATAAGTATGAAAGTTTAGGTGTGAGACACATAAATACACAAGGGGTTAAAGCTTTGCTAACGTATTTTTACAGGTTATATTAAAATTTTGGTATATGTGTGAGCTTTGCTAATTCTAGTTGATATGAATTTTGAATCTCTAATCAATTGGGTTAAAGCATGTCTGGCTAAATAATCTCTGCTTCATTTGCTCGCTCGAAAAATGATGGAATTTTTAGATGCTCTACTTAATGATTGAACCTTGATGTAGCCTTCTTTCATATAATGAAGAAAATAAAACTATTATGGTGCACTACGAGATTTTTAATCATCAAGGAGCAAGCAGATGAGATGGAATCGTATTTTATTAGAAAAAAATGTCAAGTATGAAGATATACAGTCATCTAATACACTATGTTCGTGTAATTAATGGCATTATCTGTCTTACAAAAAAGCTGTCAAGTTATTTTCCTAAACTTGGCAAAGCTTGCTATATCATTTTATACTCAACCTATCATGTGTATTAATTGATATACTGAATGTTATCATTTAGTGGTATTAGTTTGAAGTTTCAGATAGTTAAATATGTGGTTGACTAATAGAAGTTGGATAATACAAATTACTTGAATGTGTCAACTTGAAATTCTAGCTGAACTCTTGCATTAATAATTTCATAAGAACCTAACTTGGGTAAAAAGCATTATAATGATGTTCGGCTAGAAAGGCTTTTGGGTCGATTTCACTGGAGAAAGTTTTTTCCAGGTTTGTTTAGTGGTTTTGAACACTGGCGAAAATATGGATCTCCTTGAAAGTTTTGAAGTGCATATGGAATGAATTCCTTGAGAGTTTATGTGCTTAATAGATCTTTTTGGTCTGTGTAGAATAGTGAATTCGACTTAGTGTATTTAATTCCTTGGGTTTTGACATTACCGAAGAATATAATAGGGGCATAAATGAAGGCCTATAATCAAGCCGAGTCAAGTTAAGTTTGTCATGGATTTGATTGGACTTGCTCATATTATAGATTGTTTATGTTCAGCTCATGCTCGAGCTGTGCTTGTACACGTACTTGACTTGTTTAAAGTTTTTAATAATCACATTGATTTATTTGACCTATTTATATTAATTAAATGGATACTTCAACGAGTTAATAGATAAGCTAAAAAATTGAATAAGAACTTAACTTTTCATATGAAGTTATCAATAAATGATTTTACAAATCTAAACAAAGAAAAGTAAATAATTAATTACATTAATTAAGATAATATATAAGGTGCAAGTGGCTTTCTGCTAGCAAATAATATGAATAAGTAATAATAAACTTGATCCTTGAAATGAAGAAATAATAAGGAATTGCATTAATCTAATATGTGTATTGATATTTAATTATAATATATTATTATCAAATATATAATTAAATAACATTTAGTTAATCAATTTTTATTTAAATAATATATCATATATGATATGATTAATAGAGCTTACTATAGAGCATTTAACAAGTTATTTATTGAACAACAAATAAATTTGTTTGTGAACATAAATAAATGTGTATGATTGTATTTAAGTTTTGATCATTATAACTTTCTAGTTTTTAATAAATTTAAAAAATGTTAAAATTTTTTATTTCAATATTTGAACAAGCTTGATTGAGTATTAATCAAGCCATGTTTGAATTAATCATTAAGTGCATTGGCTCATTTACAGCCTTAGGCATAACGAACATTTTAAAGAACGATATATAAATGAATGCAATTTAGAAAATGATAAACTGTGCGACCATGCATTTGCCATACTCGGTAATTGAGCGATTGTGTAGAGATTGGGATAGTCTCACCACAAATTTTCTTGGTGATTCATATCTGCTAAAGATAGATTAAGGAGGTGAACTTAATGGAGAAAAAACGAAAGAGGATTTCTAACAATGTCATAATCCATCAAACACATTCGATATGAATTCACCCTAAGATGCAGTAAACCTTAAGGTGTAGAGGAACTGCTAATATATTAGGGAAATTTATAGACTTAGCACACAATTCTTATTTATTTACATATCTCACACCTTAACTTCCATATTTACATACATAGCACTTTGGTGTTTTAAACCTATGGATGAAACGCCTTTTTTACTTTTAATTAGTGGTAATGGTGATATTAAAGATTTGGGTGCCATGTAAATATGAAAGTTTAGGTGTGAGATATGTAGATACTTAAGAATTGTGTGCTATGTATGTAGATGCTCCAATATATTAATACAAGTTTTTTTTCCCCTCAAATTTACACATGTCAAAAATGCCACCGAGTTTTGGTAGGATTTTTTTTAAAAGATCTACTTATCTGCTAATTCGCAAAGCATGCCTGGTATTTGGTTAATTCAGGTTTCTATTTCATTCTACATGCAGCGTATCAAGTATCATTCTTCAAAATATATGCATGCTTGCTGTGCCACTTTGTGCTTCCGTTCGAGATATTTTGCCTCACCGTCATACATTAACATAAATTACCAGTGGGGTGGAATATATTAAAGTTTCTATTTTTATATAGTCGCATGAAAAACTTCAAAAATTTTTTTTTTTCTACCGGTATATAGTCCCACCCATAAAATGAGAATTATAGACAGACTATTCAGTTACTAAATCTTAAAAAAAAGGAAGATTTACATCCAAGCCACTTCATTCTTATGTGTTTACATATATAACACACAAACTTCACTTTTTACTTATATGCCGCCTTCTCTTTGCATGAAAAGGTTTGTTTCACTTTTTAGAAGTTAAAAAGGTAGTATTTTTTATGGGATGTGAAAGATCTCGGCGGTACAAATGTAAAAGAGCAATGTTTAGGCGTTAGTTATGAAAACACATAGGAATTAGGTGTATTTAAATGCATCCTAGAGTCCCATAGAAGTCATTTTGTTAGCTGGTTTTATTCAACTTCATATTCTTAGCTGAAGTGGGTGCTTCTTCTTGTAAACTAAGAGGTTTTATTGCCCCATATTTAATAAAATGTTTTAGGTTTGAAGCTACACTATTAAAGAACTGAAATTTAGAATTGGTATCCATTGATTTTTTTTTATTATTTAAATCTGGTTTCAACTGCTTTTTGAATATTTTTCCCAAATAAAATGCATAAATTGCTTGATGTTCAGCTATGACAAATCAAGAGCTAATATATGCTGGCCAGAAGACAATGGAAGAAACCGATCAGGCGATCGAGCGGTCGAAAGCGGTACTTATTATATTTCGAATATCCTTTTTGCTTTTTTTTTTGTTCCACCATTTTTGTAAGATTTACATGCATACCACTCAATTCTTATATATTTACATTTCTAACATCTAGACTCCAATTTTCATGTACATTCCACCTTACTTATGCATGAAAAGGTGTATATTATTTTTTAGAAGTTAAAATAGTGGTATTTTTTATGTGATATGAAAGAGTTGGTTGTTATAAATGTAAAAACTAAACTTTAGGTGTAGATATATAAATAATGGGTGGTATGTATATAAATGTCTCTTTTTTTACTTGGAAATCTTTTGGTAGGTTGTGGAGCAAACAATCGAAGTGGGAACACAGACAGCTTCAAATTTGAAGGGCCAAGTAAGTAGGCTTTAAAAAGCTTCTAATTTTCTGAGGTAGCTGATGGATCTGGTGGCGTATATAATTAAGGAGTTCTGTTGGGCCCCATTGTCATTTCTGGGCGTTGCCTCTTTATTATGTAGACCGAGCAAATGGGCCGCATTGTGAACGATCTTGATACAGTCCAGTTTACCATAAAGAAGGCGACTCAACTTGTGAAAGAAATTGGCAGGCAGGTTGTTCAATAGGCCTCTAATCTTAATATTCAATTTGCAATTTTAAAACATTTCCTTTTTTTGTCCTGACTTATAAATATTTGTTTCTTACAGGTTGCAACCGATAGATGCATCATGCTTTTCTTGTTCCTGATTGTCTGTGGTGTAATTGCAATCATTGTTGTCAAGGTACTCTATTTCATTTTTTTCCCGCAATTGCAGACTCCGAAATAGAACTTTGGGGCAATAACATAGCACACAATTCTTATGTTTACATATCTCACCCCTCAGCTGTTATATGTATACATATATTTATACACATAACACTCAAATCTTTAATATATATAAATAATAACACTATTATCACTTTTTAAAAGTCAAATCCATATTTTTCATGCACATGTTTAAAGCACCAAAGTACTATGTACCTAAATATGAAAGTTTAGGTGTGAGATAGTGAGATATTTAAATACATAAGAATTGTGTGCTAGGTATGTAAATTTTTCTAGAACTTTTCATTTTAATGCATGTATTCCATTATCTGTTTTAGCAACTTGTGCAGCGCATTAGAGCTCAAATCCGTCTATGGAAATATAGGAGGTCCGTCTTTTGAAATATTGGAGGATCGGTCTGCCTATTAATTGGAGTTAATTTGGGAAAATCATTTATTAGTTTTATTCTCTTCCTATTTATTTATTTCAGAATTATTTCCATTCCATGGTTAGGCTAGATATATTTGGTAAGATTGTAAATTAAGAGGGATTGGCTTACCTATATATGTAACTTTAGGATTGAAGATTGAATAATAAGAATTCTGAGAATTCAAGTTTTTCCTATTGGTATCAGAGATTGGAAACAAATCCTAGCCCCCTCCAACAGCCATCGGAATCCTTCAGTTGCCTGCAAGCCGTCCCTTCAGCCGGAATCCTCCCTGCTGCAGGCCCTTCCATGCATTCGAAATCCTCCTTTTGTTGCAGGCCCTCCTGAGTTGGCTCCTTGCAGGCTTCTAATATCCTATAGGGTTCCCTCTGGCTTCTCCTTTTCGCTGTCCAACCTTCCCTGCAGGCTTCCTCTCTCCACTGTCCAACCTTCCCGTCAACAACCCATCTGCTACTTTCCCGAGCAAGCAGTAGCCAGCAAAGCCGTTGGACTCCTATCCTGCAGCAAAGGCTACCTGGAAACTTGGAGCTAGCAGCAGCCAGGATTCTTTCCAGTCTTAAACTTGCATAGGTTTTATAACCAAGTACGATATGAAGACGTCTAGTTCTGCTTCAGAGCTTATTTCTGAATCAGAGACCAAGAATGTTGTCCAAACTCCTCCTGAACTCTCTTCACAAATCATAAACTCAATGGTCGTAACTTTCTTCAATGGTCTCAATTCGTGTTTATATACACTTTTGAAAGAGAAAAAGAGGAACATCTGACAGGAGAGGGCGCAGTCCCTGAGTTCATTGATCCTAACCAAATCAAATGGAATATTAAAGATCATATAGTTATGTTTTGGTTGGTCAACTTAATTACTATTGAAGTAAGAGCTCTACAAAATAGCTAACGAAATCTAGGACGTTGTAAGAGAAACTTATTCTAGCATTGAGGATGCTGCAGAATTGTTTGTGATTAAAGCCAAATTACATGATCTTCATCAAGGAGAGCTAAACATCGCCCAATATTTCAAGACCCTGACAAAGTATTGACTTCAATTGGATATTAGGGACATAAGTGTGGAGTTGTGCGTATGATGTTGTGATGTATAAAACCATCATCGAGAAAAAGGGAACTATCGAATTCCTAGTGGGACTAACCAAGGAATTGGATGTGAGAGGGAGGATCATGGGATTAAAACCTCTTCCTTCTACCTTTGAAGTTTTTGCTAAGTTTTTGCTGAAGTTAGAAGAGGAGGGAAAAAAAAAAAAAAAAAACTTGTGACAATTGAAAATTGTTCACCAAGTGTTAGAAGTTCAGTTTTGTACCCTTACAATTTTTTCCATGACTCAAAGTTCAAGAAGAATTGACCCACATGTGACTACTGCAAAATAATTGGGCATTTCAAAGACAATGTTGGAAACCCTATGGGAAACCAACAGATTGGAAACCTATGAAGCTTTTGCTTAAGTTAGAAGAGAAGAGAGTAGGAAAAAACTTATGATAATTAAAAATGGTAGTTCACCAAGTGTTGAAAGATCAACTTTGTGCCCTCATAATTATTTTCATGACTCAAAGTTCAAGAAGAATCGTCCCACATTTGACTATTGAAAAAAAATTGACACCTCAAAGACAAATGTTGGAAACTCCATGGGAAACCGATAGATTGGAAACATGGACAAGAAAGGAAAGATTAAGAAAGAAAGGCTAATACTGTTACTACATTTGAAGTGTCAGGGGACATATTCACCAATAAACAACTTGAAATGCTTAAAAAATTCCGTGGGGGTAATTCTGAACAGCACACCAGCCTCGTGTCACACCAATGTATATCATTCTCCCATCTTGCCAGCAATTTTAACCCAAAACTTGACGTAAGATACAATTTTACTAACGACTTAAACAATGTTACAATGAAGACTTGAAGAAACGAACAACACACAAAGCAAAAGCGTGAAATAAATGATTAAAAATAAAGACTCGACAAAATGAGACACAACAAGCTGACGAGAAGGATATTCAGAGAGACAGTGCTAGATCGGTGGTTGCAGTAAAGACTGGAGAGATGTCGGATGACTGTGGAAGAAGTAGGACAACAAGCCAGCGATCGTCAAGGCGCCGAACCGCAGCTGAAAGGAGCAGCTAGGGCTGCGGTATGGAGAGGCTGGAAGGGGCAGCAGATAGTACAGCCTGCAGGGAAGCTACTGGAAGATGACGTGATGGTTGCGACCTTCAGGGGAGCTGCAGGGAAGAGCTGGAGCAGTTGGAGTTGTGCGGCCTGCAAGGGAATTGTAGGAAAGGAGATTGCAGGTGGCTGTGGCCTGTAGGGAGATGCAGGAAAGGAGACTGTAGGTAGCTTATAGGAAGAGGTGGTGGCCTGTGGTAGCCTGGTGGAAGAGGTGGTGGCCTGCTGGTGGTTGAAGGGTTGGCAGTTTATAGGAAGAGTATGGGACAACGACGGCTCACTATAGGGCTGGGGAGCGGGTGGGCAACAACGAGAAGGGTGGAAGGATAGATAAATATCTCGACGAGGTCGAGGTACAGTCGGAGCACCACCCAGACCCGTGGAGACGATCACCACCTCGGACAAGGGACAACCGAAGCACTGCTCCGACGTCAGCTACAACCCACAAAGGGAAAAATACCAAGCCGAAAACCTAAATTTAGATATAAAAAACAACACCCCTAAATTTTAGCACATCATTGTATATTTATAATGGCGCTGAGACGTTATTTTAGATAATATTTAAAATAAGGATGAAGAATCAAATCAAGATTTCATATTAGGAAAGAGGAATAAAATATTCAGAAATTCTGATTTAGAAATTCAGTTTAGGAAATGGATTATAATGGAAATTTAAATTTTGAAAAGAGGTACAAAAATATTTAGAAATTTTAATTTGGAAAGACTTTTATTAGGAAGTTGCTAAGAAGGAAAGAGAGGAAGGGGAGAGAAGTGAAAGAGAGGAGCGGCAGCCCCCTCCCTTTGAGGACCAGTCAGTCCTTCATCGGCCCCGCGTTAGTCTCACGGGTTTGGGGGAGCTTCGATGTCATAGGTTGAAGCTTCCGTGTTGTTGTTAGCCACCCTTGGATCCCACTGGCTACTGCATCGTCTGCCAAAGCATTTGAGGAGCTCTTCCCACTTGCGAGCATACCTCTCTATCGATTCGTGTTGGTTTATCATAATTTGAGTCGGAGGTATTACACCACATTGGTTCTCTTGAGCCAAATTCAAACAAATAAATTTCTTATATGCTTCTCAGCTATGGAAAGTTAGGCCTCAGTGAGGTTGATTTGCAAGAGTTTGGTTGATGGGTGATTTTTATTATCATCCTGGTCTTCCCTCTAACTCTTGAAGTTTTGGAGAACTGGCATCTTCTGTTGTGTTCCAATAACAAGTGTCTTACACTGGCCTTTCGTCTCACACTGGTGGTATGGGTTGGAAGTGTGGCCGCCTGTGATGCTATCAATTGGTTGTTATTAAGACCATCCACTTAACTTTTAAATTTTGACATCTTCTGGTCTGCATGATTTTTATGCTCAATAAAAAGTTCTCCATCTTCTAGGAGAGCAGGAACCACAATTTCATTAAAATTTGCATGTTTCTTTTGATCATATTGAGGAAAGACATTGGATGTATCTACGAACATGGGAGTTCCACGGAGGAGATGAAATTTTTCGTTCAGACTGTTCTTCAGTGTCTGCGGTGTCTTTACCCAACTTTTCAATGAAGCTTTGCTCGGTGAAGTAGATCACTTTCTGGTTGTGCATTCTACTTCAACTTGTTCAAATCCGTGGCACTTGCAACATTTTCTAGCTGTGACAGACTTGCGGATTGGTTTTATTTGATAATAGCAAGGGGGTCACTTGGTGATGCAGTCTCTCCACTTCAGAAGCTAAAGTCTGCAATTTTTGCGGCAATAAGTAGGTAGGAACTAGCGTTGTATTATACGCTTCATCTTCATTTTTTTCCGTTCTTTTCTTCAACCTTTCAGATCACTGTTGAGGGTAACCTCCCACTGAATTTCCTCTTCAATATTTCATTCTGGGTTGGCTCAGGCATTTATCTCCTTGGCGGCATGTTTAACGTTTTGAGATCTGTGGAAGGAAAGAAAATAAGAACAATAAAAGAAGAAAAAAATAAACGAAAGAAAAAAAAAATATTTTGGTGTGGTGGATTGGATAGGGGCGGATGCTAGAAACCCTAGGATAGGACTAGGGTTGTGTTAGCTCCAATACTAAATGATACCAGACTTTACCCAAACCACGATGTAAGACACAATTTTACTAATGACTTAAACAAGGAAAGATAACACACAAATAAAGTCTCGACAAAAAGAGACACAACAAGCTGACGAGGAGGAATTCCTGAGAGATGGTGCTTGATCGGTGGTTGCAGTGAAGACCGAAGAGATGTCGGACGGCTATGGAAGTAGGAAAACAAGCCAACGATTGTCAAGGCGTGGAACCACAACTGAAAGGAGAAGCTAGGGTTGCGGTAGGGAGGGGCCAGAAGATGGTATATTCTGCAGGAAAGCTGCATGAAG